CCAGTGCTGTCGTCGCGAAGGCCTCCCTTGAAGACCACTGGCACTTGGTTGAACCTGAGCGGGCTGATGAAATTGATATGGCACAACTATATATAGAAAGTGCTTACTTCACTGAATTGGTTGAATGCTTGAACAGGAAAACAGTGTTCTTGATTTGCGACAAAACACCAAGATTTGAAGTTTCTGACACCACTGATATATTCTACGTCGATGACTGCATCCTCGCCCAACCATCCCCTTATACCGATTCGGTTCAGCACTTGACGAAGCTTCCTCGGGTGTGGTGGGTTGGCCATTGAAACGTTGAACGTAGAACAAAAGAACAGAACACTTTCTAGGTGTTGAGAAGAAGAACACTTTCTAGGTGTCAGCGGGACACAAATAGTAGTTGAGCGCCTATCAATAGTAGTTGAGTGTCTCACACACATCTTGTTCATCACACAAGATGTCGATGTAGCGGAAGGAAACCGCCAGCAGTCCGAAAATTTGGTCTTGGCTGTCAATGGTTCTTTTCAATTCAGCAACACACTACCACCCAGTGATTCTTCAAACAAGTTTGTGTCATGTTGTTAGTGCATCCAAAGACCTAGCGGACCGTGGGTGTGACCCACCCTTCCATACATCACTGAACTCAACCTCATCTTCTGCGTTGTGACAACGAATGATAGCCATTTGAGAATCGAGTTGTTCTTGTTTTCCCTGACACAATTGTCAGCCTTAGTTTTGGGCAAGGATTTGGAAAGGGCATGTTGTTGTAAATTGCAAGTTGTTTCATTCAACATGTCTTTCTTTTTGCGAATCCAGTAGCCCAGCACAAGAGCTGGTCCGGTACAGGCTTGTTTCTTGCTTGGCAAAGTGCGACAGCCTGTTCTATGCTCCTTGTCATGGTTTCCAAGACACTCGAAGCGTCAGCTGGTAGACGCGGATCTAGCAGCCATAATTTGAGGAGTGTTCCATGCAGCCAGCAGGCCTGTATTTTAAACTTTGGCCGTTGTGTGTTGCTTAGGCCCTTGGGCGTGACGTTTGCACGATCTCTGGGTATGCTCCACTTGGCCTGGTCCATGCCATCCTGCTGCCAGCAGGCGCCCGGTTTACAAAGATTTTGCCATTTGCAGAATTCAATTTATGAGTGAATCAAGCACATGATTTCAGCCATGAAACCATATGGATGCAAAGAGGAGATCCGTCGTGCTGCAAGGGACACTGCGCCTGAACATAGCAGTAACACAGAAGCAAGGTCCATTTAGCAAGCCCGCCCCAAAGTGGCAACAGCAAGTGCACTAGTTTTGGAAGGCAGCTGTCAAAACAGGTAGCCAAACTTTCAAGTAGCCTGAAGGTACTGCTCTAATTGCCGGTCTCGCTTGATGCTGTCCACATGCTCTTTGTACTCTTTGGCCACATCGTAGGCCATTTGCGGAGACTGGGAAAGCAACAGTGGGCCCACATGATGACAATCACTGGCTTAACTTTACCTTAAATACTTGATGTTTCAATCCTGGAAGCAAGACACCTTCGCCATCTTGAACAGCTCCTTGAACTCCAAGCAGTCGTCACAAGCGGCGTGACTCGAAGCAGGACTAAATCTGAGCAACTTTGACCAGCGTCCCTTGAATCGCCGCCAGAAGTGTATGTACCTTTGCTATTGAAAAAGGAATGTCATACAACAAGAGTCACTCACTTGACAAACAACTTTTGCCATCATATCAAAGAAAGATGAGGTGCGACACTTGGACTGCTGGCCGCTCATGACAAAATTGATGCCAAAGCATTTTGATACTACCCGGCTGTAAAACCCTGGTGGGTAAGGATGTCAGCATAGTACAGCCTGCTGTTTCTATATACCTGATTGAACAGCAAATAAATTGACAAGTTCATATGATATTCATGTGTACCGGCGCTGCAACATGCACATGTTTAGTGCAAGAATCTTCGAGTAGTAGCTGTTCAAACCCAATGCGTGCATTCTGAGTTCTTCATCATCCTCGATCAACTCATGCCCAACACACAGAGTCTCCCCAATGTCGTCACTCTCCACAGATGCATCAGACTCGAAGCCTTCAGAGGAGTATGACTTGAGAGTATGTGCTTCACAGCATCGTTTTCAGTTCATGGTTTTCTTGTGATTTCGTAAAGCTATGCAAAGACATGACCAAGTGAACCAGATTTGAACAGTGCCTGGGTCAGGCTGCGCAAGCTCAACTGAAAGCTTTTCAGGCTGGGATCTCAGCGGAGTGTCTCGCTGATGAGCTGCTCGTTGGAACCTGTCGATTTGTTTGCTCGGAGAATTCTTGGGTTTGGGGTTGAATCTGAAAACCAATAGCCAGATATCAACCAACTCATGTGCCAAGAGACTTTTCTGGAAGCATTCCTGCTGCCTTGTTGTAAATGTCAAATAGAAACAGGTCCACCTCCTTTTGTTTCCTCCCAAATTTATTGGATCCCTTGGTTGCAGAATGAACGAAACATAACGAAACAATACAGGATTTGACACACGAAGTTTCAACCTGCAAAAAAACAAGACGAGGCACGCCACCCCAAAGTCTATAGCGGCGATCGGGGCCACCAGAAATGATCCGCTTCATTCTCGAGTTTCCCACACCGAGAACAGCAGTGACACACTTTGGTGACATTTGGTATCCTAGCAAATACCACTGTCTCCGCTGCACCGCCTTGCCTCTGCCAACGACTTGCTGGACCTAGGAAGAAGGGCTGCCAAAAATACACATTTCCAAGGTCATCAAGTATCGAAGGGAAAAACTGAATCGAGGAATATCGAGGAAAATGAGGTCCAGGCAAAGAGGTCTTGTCTCGGTCTGGACATCTTCCAGAAGGTGTTCATGAATGTGCTCAGTAGCTCCATTTTCTCTCCCAACCATCTGAAACAATTCTTCCTATGGCACCGGCAGTGGTGGAGATGCTGCAAATGTTCCAACCGAGCTGTAGATGCACCGTTCACACTCTGCCTCACACGGCAGTCGCAGCACAAGTTTGGAAGTGCAATTTGCAATCACATGTATATAGCTCGACAAGTTTGATTGTTAGCAATCTGCAAGACAGTTGCTGGCTAGCTGCTGATGAGTCTGTCGGCCCTTGGCCAGTAATCGTCTCTGCTGGTTGTTGTAGTTGGGGCGTTTATGGTGCTCCAAGATGGCACCCCCAACAGCTTTCTCTTTGTCCAGGGCTAGGTCCACATTCACATCAGCTGTATGCTGGAAACCACGCAATCCGTTCATTGTAAACTTGACCTTCACTGATCCTGCCTCTTCTGGCTCTGGCGGAATGGTCTGTGGACACTGCTGAGGCTTCATTGACTTCCAAAAAGCTCTTCTAGTGCCATCACAAGCCGTGCTATCACGAACTACAGACACCGTGTTGTTTTCAGATGCATTGCTTCTGACTGGGACTGAGCTGCTTGCTGATGATGCAATTGACTGGCGTCGAAAATACCTGGCAGTTGTCCAACTGCTTTCGCAACAACAAAGGGCTACCTTTAGTTAGTGACTTTAGTCTGAAAGTGTATTGGTCAAGCAAAATAAATTCTTGGTATAAACTTGGTCCATGGCTGTCGCCGCTCCATCAAAACTTGCCCTGGCCAAACTCCGAGCCTGAAAAGGTCACAGGTAGCAAGACCAAGAGGCTAGAGGTATCTAGAGGTATTGAATGAATGCCAGGCTCAGGAACAATCTAGACTGATCAACCCTGCATCAACCTTGTTGCAAGCTTTGATGTGCCAACATGTGCTTCTGAGGTTTGGTCGTCAGCTTGGGCGATGGGTGAGGCAGAGCCTACAAACTGGGTTTTTTGAGCGGAATGGAGCCACTAATAGCTTAACCTCTCACTGAATTTTTTACTATAAAATCTAGCAGGGCCACGTTCCCTCACAGTTTCATGAATGTGTGTGAAACTTCAGCCTCTGAGATGACGGTGGCTACCAAAAGCCAAGCTCCCTCAGTGTTATTTACCACCCACATCAGCAGCCAACTGTTTGACATAGGTGACTTTGAATATCATAAATGAACATGTCGACCATTCTCAGACTTTGGCCAGGTTCATGCCTCAGCTGAGAAGTTTCACCAACTCATAGCGGTGGTTGCATTGTAGACACTCATAGACAAGCCAACTCATAGACACACATAGGTTAGTCTTTTGGGGTCCAGACAGGGCAGTCTCCGGCAATCGCCAGCATTGCAGGGAAAGCGTAAGTGAATGTAAGTGAGCTGATACATGGACTATCATGGACTATTGGTGAAACAATGTAAAGCAATGACAAGTGGAATTCCTGCAGTGAATGTTTCCGGAGCACAGTGTACAGAATCAGGTGTTTGCAAGTTGAAACACAGGGTAAGGGATGCTGTTTCAAACCTGCTTTGGCTTGGTGTCCGGGGGAGTCATGACATACAATGATTGACCAAGACCAATCTTCCTCAAACCAAGCTGAGATGAACAAGTTCAAGGCCAATCTCGAGATCAAACACGTGCCACGCTGAAAGCAAGCACCTGTTGAAAGCAAGCTGAGTGTGTCGCGACATGTCACGACCAGTGATGTCGAGCCTGGAAAAAGGGTTTGCAGCCACCAACTACAATCAGCTAGCTGGACCAACTACAATCAGCTAGCTGTCCATTCTGCCTCTAGGGCACTGACTGAGAAGTGAAGGTGTCCACATGAAACCATGGCCAGAAGGATTCCTGCAAATAAAGCAGTAGGCCAACAGCCTCTTGAACTCTTTGAATTGCACTCCCCAACCTCAGTGATACACCATGAAGACCTGCAAGCCGGTGTAAGCTGAGCAGAAGGGTAGAATGGTTGAACTATGTTGAACTACAGAGCTTCCTGGCCTGCAACGTAAGGGGGAGGTTAGCAGACAATACGATCAAACAATGGGCTGCAAGGAAGCGGCATCCAGGCTTCTAAGACTCAATTGAAATGAAACGACACCTGAACGCAACGAAATCTCCTTCAGTGTCCTTTTTTCCATGTCGGAGCCCTGGTTTTTACTGAGGTGCGGTTTCCTCACGCCTGTGTGGCTGGTGGAATTTGAGCGCCTCAAGAATGCGGACGCCGCGAAGCGCACCAAGCTCTTAAGCCAAGGCTTTTCAGGAATTATGGATGCAGCTTGCGCGTCGGAGATCGATCAGAGACACTGGGCAAGCTGATAGAAAGTCTTTCAATCCAAGTTTTGCCTGCAGATGAGGTACTGGGAAACTGGCAAACTAAGAGGTTTTTAGTGTTTTAATGGATCTAACAGATGTGACGTTCCAAGTCTGGCCTCTTGAAGTGATGGATTTGACTGGTGGAATATCACTAGGGGCAGCCCAAGTGGAAAAACATCTCCGGAATGGTTGTCTCACCCTAGTGTGGCAATGGAGAGCCATCCACCTGCCCAGGAAATATCCATGCAGAGATCCTGCAGAGCGGCATGATGCAAGAAGTGGAAACAGCAGTGGACGTGTTGCTGTCAAGCAATTCCTCAACGGTGGAGCTTCAACGCACAGTTGCGTTGGTGGGCCAGTTGGGGGATGTGACGAATTTCTCTCGGATGCGAGTCCTGGTGGGGGTGATTTTCTGGATTGAATTTCCCATTCTGAATTATGTGGCCTACATGCGGCCGACTCGAGAAACTCCAGATCCCCCGCTCGAACCGGCCCTAAGCAGCTTTCTGATGGCACTGCAGGGCTGCCTTTGGCTCTTGCTTTTTGCGTGCCTCTCTACACTTCGAAGGAGTTTTGCGACAGCATTGCTGAATTTGTGGTTAATATGTTTGCCTTTGATGCCACAGTGGGCGTTTATCGGCGGAAGGGGAGAGGCATACTCCCTGCTTGGGGCTTGGTGTATCGGCCCTTTCATTTTGATCGCTTCTGTGGCTGGCCCCTTTCGCGTGGCTCGGGTGCCTTTGGTAGGAGTGCCGATTGTATGGGCTTGTCTCGGGCGCTGGACACGATGTTGGAGGCAAATTGGATCGGAAGGGAGAGCAACAGAGGAGATCCAAGAGTCCAAGGAGAGCAACAGTTCGGTGCCAGAAGAGGATCTTCAAGACTATTTTTCCACGTAGAAAAAGGCCTTCGAGATGTTCGCCGGCTGCGATTCCAAAAAAGGGAGGAACAACAACAACAGCAGCAGCAGCAACAACAACAACAAGAGGAACAACAAAGACCCAATTTATGGAGGATCAGTTCCAAGTGGGCTTTCCTTGTCATTGTCTCAAGCAGATTCACTAAACCCACAGGGCGAGCAGGACTCAATAGACACACGCAGGAAGCTCTTCATCGCGTTCTTTTTGGATTTCAGGGGAACTGAGGGGCCTTTCCGACCAAGTTTTGGGAACCGGGGAGACTGGTCACCAAACTCACCAAAAACAGCACTCACCGAACTCGCAGAGGTAGAAATCCCAAGAGAAACGCCTTGGACCCCCCAATGCCTACCCCACTCCGGGAGCCGGAGGTGGGTGGGAATGAAGATACTGGAAGATGCGACATACCCGTGACATGTCATGTTGGGGGACATGTCATGTTGCTGCGAATGGCTGCACGCGCTTGCGTGCCCGTGGCGGATCCACCACCTCCTCTGAAGGTCATTGGAGACACGACGTGGAGACACTTTGATGTGGGTCTGTATGTGTATATAGTTAATAGTTCAATTAGGGAGACCTCTCAGTGAGTTCGACCCAGTGGAAGAAGGACAATAGGGCAGTTTGCGTTTCCCTATTACGGTATTGAAATACGTTGAAGTACATGTACCTGGTTCTTCAAAGTCTCCTAAGGGTCACTTAGGAACCTTCAAAAGGTCACGGACTGAAGAAGCTGGTAGGTTTGGAGGGTCCAATCGCACCCTCTGAGAAGGTCATTGTCCACACAATCCGACGGTATGCGAGCGGAGACGGGGACCAGAAGCATCGAGACGAGCCTTCGTCCATTCTCCATGTGCCGGTTGGTGTGTGATTGAAATGGGGAGACCCTCCGATCAAGAGAACAACGAGTCCGCGTGGTTGGACGATGCTGCAAGGTCGTGTTCCAAAAGCTGACTTTGTTTGTTTGGTATTCTCCCTAGGGCTCCAACCATCTCCTCAAAAGGTGGTTCGACCCCCCAACCCCACCCCAACCATCTTCTCAGGAGGTGATTGGAGCCCTAGGGTCTTAAGCCTCCCAAGCGGTGGGTTTCGGGTTGAACACCCCACGAGGACCCGAAACAACAGCTCTCGGCTGAGGTTCGTGTGGCCACGACTGAGGTGGGGAGAGGGAGAATTCCACAGCGGGGTGGATGGAACGTGTGGAGAATTGCGCAGATGGGACGCGTGAAGCCACAAGAGTACCCGAAGTATTTTTCATAGGGAGACGCCCTGCCCCTGGGTTTTGAATGGTAGGACTGGTGTCTTTCGGTCGAAACTCGCTGGCTGGAAGCTCTCCCTTTTGCCATTTTCCACGGAAGCTTCGAGATGAAGTCACCCACATCGAAGATCACGAAGCCTCCCATCGACGATCAGGGCTGCACCGAACCTGTGGCTGATTGAACCTGTGGCTCCACCCAGTCCCATCTCCCAGCTTCGGTGGTGCTGTCCACCGAACCTGTGGACGCCACCATCCTGCTCGGCTCCCCCCACCGGCGTAGAACGGAGGTGTCGGAGGGGTCGTGAACTCGGGTCCTGCCATCTACGTTGGCTGACGCAGGGAGTGGGTTGTTTCCCCGTTGTTTGGTTCGTGGAAAGTGGATGAAAGTGGTTTCTGAAACCGGTGTGAAACAGGTGAATCGAGATATTCCTGGAAACCCGTTCCCAGACCAATGGTTATGGTTATGGCACTTCGATCCCTTGATTTTTACATAACGTCACGTGATTGTTTGAGGAAGCATCCATTTCTTTCTGGAACTGGGTGAAACCAGCTTGTGAATACCTTTTCAGGTCGGATGTTTGGCACCTGGGTCACCGTCAGAGGGTCAGAGGGCCAGAGGGTCCGATGTTTTCGATGCCAAGAACGAGGGTCGGGGGTCGACCCCTCCATGTACACTCCCTGGAATGATCGTGACGTGGATGGCATCACCTGTTTGGTAAGAGGACGGAGGTGACCAATTTGACCACCCGCCCCCTACCCAGGGAAAGTGGATCACCTATTTGGGTTCCTTCCTTTCCTCGCAGATGGGAACAAGCATAAAAGGCATTAATTATCATCATCCCCAACGACAGATGCCGAAGTGCTCCGTATCCTTCGGCGGCGGAGCGCCAGGAGACCCCTCCCGTGGAGGTGCCAATTAGCCGCTGGGTGGTCGATGTACCGGATGTTGGGGGTCGAAACGGCCGGCCTAGACGGTAAGTGGGACGTGGTTTGGGGGGTGTTTGATTGATGAGATTGATTCAGATTGGAGAATTTTCCTGGTCCTGAGGGAGCTGGTGCAATTCTCCTGGTTTTTCGACGTTTTCGACGATCAAAATTGGATCACCTGGTGATGCCATGTACGTGACCTTAAGCTCTTGATAGCCTGGTCGCTTCGGTCACTTATATAAGCCTTAAGCCTCGGCTTACGGGTCACGAAAAGGAACCTTCAAAAGGTCACTTTTTGACTGAAGAAGCTGGGAGTTGCGGTGAAATCGTCGATGTTTTAGAAGCCTTTTCGATGCTTTGGGAGGTTTTCTTCGGCGCATGGTCGACCAGTGGCGGTACCAGTGGTGTCGAGAATTCTCCAGGATTTTGGGCGTTCGGGTAGAGGTCACAGGTGTTTTTGTTGCACAAATCGCCTTGATGAACTGCTGAAGAGCAGGGTCCGAGAGATGATTACATCTCGGGTGGCGGAAAACGGCCGACAACGGTCGACGTGTTGTGCGTGCGTGCGTTTTGGACCAACTCAGATGTGATTCAAGGCAGGGTCATAAATATGCTATTTTTACCAGTGTCCTTCACCCGGTTGAGACCACGCTCCAAAAAGCAAAACCTGTTGGAGGTTATAAAGTTACCCAGACACTCCATGTATGGCATATATGCCTACATTGACCCCCAAAACCACCCCAATGTAGGTAAATATACCATACATGGAGTATCTGGGTTATATATTTCCATACCCGAATCGTTTCCGGGGCCTGGAGGGTTGCATCTAACCTCCGCCCTCGCTAGCTCGCGAAGAAAACCCTAAAACCCTCTGGTTTGGACAGCAAAAGCTTCACCTTCCAGCCTTCTGGCGGTGTGACCCTGCGGTTTTCCAACGAGCGGAAAGGATCTTGGCGTTTGGACCGGTCCAGATTTCGGCTCTGGATACATCTGGATACTCTTGAAACATCACCCCACCTCAAGAGGTTTGATTATGAGTTCATGTCCGGGGTGGCTTTTTTTCGGGGTGTCACGCTTCGGTGGATGTGTTCTTGAGTCTTACGGCCTCCATTCAGAAGAGGTCATCACTCTTGGGAGGATCCAGAGCTGACAGAATTATAGACATTGGTGGTCTGAATTGGAATCGGTGGTGATATAATCCTTCAATCTTGGCGCTTAGACAGCGGTGGAGCCTCTTCAGGCTCCGGGTTGACCCTGAGAGATCGTCGTGACTTGTGTTTTTCTTCGGGATCTTGCGTAGTCCTTGGCTGAGGTGAAGCATTCCGAGATATCATCACCATTTGCACCAGGCTTGGCGTGCACCCCATGTGGCACCCGATGTGTATTTCAAGAACAGATCAACAGACTCCCTGAAACCATGACTCGGAAGTGGAAGACGGCACCACCGTCGTTTGGTCTTCGGAAAACACACACTCATCATCCGAGTCTTCAGGAGTTGGTCCGGGCCTCCCATTCACGATGGATGCCATGTGTGATGTTTCCCACGGACCTGGTTCTTCAGTACGTGACCTAACTTGATCACCTGGTTGGTTGGGTCACGAACCAAGCCTCCATTTTTCGGGTCACGAAAAGGAACCTTCAAAAGGTCACTTTGACTGAAGAAGCTGGGAGTTGTTTTTCCCTCCAAATCCAGATCAAATCAAGAACCAACCCGTCTCACCTTCGCCACGTCGACGGTGACGTGTTTCCTTTCTTCCTTTGGTTCGGATGTTGGAGGCCGAAGGACCAAAATCCACTTGGAGAGGTTGTACAACAACCCATATATATTAGACACTCCAATATGTAGCGGCTGAGGGTCAAGACCTGGATTGCTCCTTATTGGGCAGGGGTGGGCTTGACCTCTCAGGTATTCATTCGCCAGGTGGTCAAAGAGTCCTGCGAGTCCCGGTGCCATGCAAAAATGTGGCAGGCCATGGAGTGTGCGCGGAATCAGAGTCCCCCCTGAAAAAAGGAACGAAAGCCACGTTCCAGTTACACCTATGGCGCCAATGGACAGTTTCCTTGCTTTTAGTTATAGGAATTATATAGTTAATTAACACTCATAATACAATATATAATAGGTTTTTAGCAACCTCTCATATTATATGCATCAGTCATTGTCAGTCATCACCTCTCCCACCGAAGTCACCTCTCCTGTCTTTCCTCACTCGATCACTCGATTCACGAGTTGGCGCAGAAGCGCCGTCCAGCGCAGGCGTGCGCCAGAGGAACGCCTGTTGACCTGTGAGTTGATGGATCATCCGTTCTTGGATCTCGCAGAGTTGGACTCCGACTGAACTCGATGCCCGACCGAAAAGGAAGAAGACACCGTCCAGCGAAGACTTGGGTACCGCAGGACCTATAGAATAGAAGGTGTAGATCGCTACCGGGGGATGGCGCATTAAATGGCGCAGGTGAAGATGGCTGATCTGGGTCAAAACCAGGATGGTTGACCTACCTGGGAGGTCGTTCGTTGCATAGTGGACCAGGGCTCCTGCTTTGATCCCTGTCAGATGCCATCGTCATATGTCGTCCTGTCATTGAAAACCAATCCCCTGCCAGGCGTGTGGAGGAGAGAAGTCTTCTTGGCATCCCAGTCGTCTCAGGGGGGTTCCACTTGATGACCGTCTTCGCCAGGGGCGTCGTGAAAACAACCTGGGGTCATGTATCTGCAGTGCAGAGGACCATGTCCTCCACCTCGGGGCTAGAGAGAGCGGAGAAATAGGACAAGAGATAGCAGTTTCCACCTCTTCTCAAGACC